TTAGTAGACGGGGGAGCATAAATCACTCTCATAAGGAGAGATTTCGCAACGATCACGGGATGTACGGTAAACAAGGAAGTAACAGGGAGCATCCGGGGAGCTCACGGGGAAATCCCGTTCGCTGGGTACGTCACGAAGTGTGTTGTGAAGGCAGGGGTCAGGGAATCGATCTGGTCGTTTCAGCGGATGACCGTAATGGAGGAAATGGACCACGACATAATCCTCGGGAGACCGTGGTGCGCGAACGTGGAGATGATAGGCATGCACTTGCACGATGGCTCATACATAGTAGACATAGAGGACCCGGTGACCGACCGAGGAGAGCTCCTCCGACTCCTTGGAATGGGAGGAGACCCCCCGAAGGGGAAATTGGCAACATGGTCGCCGTTGTTCGAGGATAGCACGCGAAAAGGGGCTTTCGCACGGATGAAGGGTATGAGAGAAGGGTAGAAATCATGATTGAGGAAGCATTCAACAAGAAGGAGTGGATCAAGATGGGCCTGCCCCAGAAGAAGAGGAGGCAGGAGGACGAAGTCCTAAGTGTTATGGTAGCGGAAAAGGAGTTAGAGGTCGAACTTGGTGCTAGCCTGCCCAAACGGAAAGAAGTACGCATAGACGTGTCAGAAATCACACTCGAGATCCCCGATCTATTACAACTCATCAAGGCCCTCAGATACCACAAGGTAGGAGTGGATTCGGCAGCCTTGGTCAAGTTCGAGAGAGAGGTGCAAAAGGGATATTGCCTGAATGGGAAACTAGTTAGTATTCAACCACGAGTTGTAGAGGCGATGGGGGCGATTCCGACTGTTCATTTTTTAGGAGAAAGATCCCGGAAGGAAGTGTTCGAAAGTACAAGCCGGTAGGGAAGAAAGCAAAACCGGTCCCGATCCTGCTAGAGACATCAAAGGAAGAGGCTATGGAGAAGGAGGAAGAGGTCCTTCGAGTGATCCGAGAAAGAAGGGCGACGGAGGGACATCGGATACCAGATGAGGTAGCTGACACAATGAAGATATGGATAGACGGGTTCTTCACGGAAGAAGAAACCCGCCTGATCAAAAGGACCTGCCAGGAGTTTCACCTGACATTTGCCTTTAGTGATCACCAGAAGGGACGACTAGATGCGAAGTTGATCCCTCCGGTCAGAATCCACACGGTAGAACATGAGTGCTGGAATGACAAGGGGCCATCCTATGAATTTGGGATAGCGGGAGAGGTAACAGACCTCCTCCGAGCGAAGATGGACTCCTTCGTTGCGGAGCCTACCGCATCGCCATACGCAAATCAGTGGTTCGTCTTTCGGAAGCCTAACAAGACACTAAGGTGGATTCAGGACCTGCAGAAGTTGAATGCGGTAACCATCCGGGATGCTGGCTCGCTACCTCAGGCTGACTTATTAGCAGAATCGCACGCCGGTCGGAGCATTTACTCCCTGATAGATATGTACTCAGGGTACGATCAGCTTCCGTTGGATGTTCGGGACAGGCCATACACCGCTATGCACACCCCCGTAGGCCAACTACAGATGTAAGTGACCCCTATGGGATTCACAAACGCGGTGGCCGAAGCGCAACGCAGGATGCTCGCCATGGTCGGGGACATGTTCCCATAAAAATGTGAGCCTTACATCCATGACAATCCGATCAAAGGCGCGCAGGAAAAGGACGAGACGGAAGTCCAGCCAGGGATCCGACGTTTTGTGTGGGACCACCTGCAGGACATCAAGGACTTACTCCGCCGGTTCTTAGTATACAACATTACGGCTAGTGAACCAAAGAGTATCCTAGCAGTACCGGAGGTAACTATACTAGGATTTCGTTGCGGTGCTTACGGCAGGAAGCCGGATCCGGCAAAGACCGACAAGATATCACAGTGGCCGACACCGCTGCGAACGACGAAGGAGGTAGGGCATTCCTAGGCGTAGTCGGCTTTTGGAGGATCTTCATTAAGAACTTTGCCAAGATTGCTGAGCCTATCCGGGCTATGATCAGGGAAGAAGGAACCATGGATTGGACAGAGGAGCGAGAATGAGCTGTCCAAAGGCTCAAGGACATATTGACATCTGAGACAGTCGCCCTGTCCACGCCTTGTTTTAATGACGAAGTGGGATGACCCTTCATCCTAGAGACGGATGGAGGACCTTTGGTCGTAGGAGGTGTGTTGATTCAAAGGGATGAGGGAGGAAAAAAGAGACCGATCAGGTTTGAAAGTAGAACCCTGAACTCTGCAGAACGGCGGTACTCGCAATTGAAGAAGGAAGTCCTAGCCATCCTGCATTGCCTTAAGACCTTCCAGGCCTACCTATTTGGGAGGCGGTTCATCTTAAGGATCGATCCGACGAATGTCGCAGGGGCTCTAAAGAATTACAGGCCTATAGATCCGACGGTAAGGAGATGGGTAGGATTCATCTGGCAGTTCGATTACAAGATCGAACGGATTGCTGGAATCCGCAACAAGGCAGATGGGCTGAGTCGGGTTTGCATCACTCCCGAAGGGATAGAGGATGCAGAGCCCATAGATGCATTCCTCGAATACGAAGGAGAGACTCTCGCGGTGGATAACGAAATGATGAATGGGGGATGCACATCGGGAGAACTATTGATCCAGACTTTGGAGAAGGGGGCACCTGCCATAGTAGCAGAACTTAGAGAAGGACCAGTTACCACTCGAGGACGCAGAGAAGAAAAGGACTCATGGGGAGCGATAGTAGGACCAAAAGAGGAACTAATGGCAATGGCAGTCGAGGGAGGCCGGGAAGCAGTGATGAGCTTAGTGGAATCTTGGGAAAGGAAAGAGTTGCACTGGGTGGTAAACCAGATGCAGGAAGGAAAGGATGGGGGTCAGGAAGGGGAGGAGTTTTTCTATGTCCAATCATACGAAGGGCTCTTTCGGGAGATCAGACTGTTCTTGGTAGGAAACAAACAACCTACGGAAGTCAGTATTAAAGCAAGAGAAGAAGCCGAAAGGTACGTCCTAAGGGGCGGGCATTTGTTCCGAAGGGAGGAAGGTGTTATGCCCAGAAGGGTTGTGTGCGGAAGACCTAGGCAAGTAGACGTTATCCAGGCAATGCACGACGGGTTAGCTGGAGGTCATCGGTCGTCCAAAGGAACACTTGCAAAGATAACGCCACTCTATTATTGGCCAGGCATGGAAGGCATGGTCGCCATATACTGCTAGACTTGCCTTATTTGCCAAGAACGAAGCTCGGTGCAGGTCTTCGAGCCGCTTAGACCAACGCGGGTGCTAGGGCCGGGGCATCTGGTCCACCTCGACCTTGCGGTCATGCCTGTATCAACGGATGGGTACAGGTATATCCTGGATGTGCGAGACAACCTGAGCGGGTTCGTGGAGGCAGTCGCCCTCAAGAAAAAGACAGGGAGGAGTGTGGCGGACTGGATAAAAGACTTCTACTTGAGGCATCCGTTCATCAGGAGGTTTATAGCAGACAATGGGACGGAGTTTATGAACCAAGAAGTATTGGGGATGCTTAAGAGACTCTGCGTACCGATCAAACTCATCAAGTTGTATCACATTGAGGCCAATGCACCTGTGGAAAGGGGCCACCGAACCTTGAAGAACACGATTGCAAAGCTCGCAGCGGACCATCTGGGGAACTGGCCTAGGTATCTTAAGCAAACTGTCTTTGCAGAGAATATGACCCCTAAAAGGACAACAGGATGTATCCCGACAGAGCTTTGGTACGGAAGAGAGATCGATTTTCCTGTGGAAGCCTCGGTACCTACCTGGAATAGGATAGATGATGATCCGCAAATGACCATTGAAGAGTTAATCAAGGCAAGATGTCAATAAATCCTTAAGAATGAGGAGGTCATGAAAGACATCGCCAGCCGGATACTGAACAACAGAATGAGGGACAAAGCAAGGTGGGATCAGGTTAAGAATGTCATAAAGGAGCCACTTCAAGTGGGGGAGATGGTATTTCTAAGGAACTCGGCACTATAAAGTACTTGGTTGGGACAACTGGGAAGGAGGTTCAAAGGCCCCTACCGGGTCGCCAAGCTGGTGGGACTGAACACCTTCGAACTGGAAGATTTGGATGGAACTGGATTGAAAAGTCCTTCCCGGGGCAACAATTGGTCAGGTTTCTAAGTCGGGACCCAGTGGAACAATGGCTTCAGGAGGCCGAAGATAAGGAAACTGAGGAGCCACAAACTAAAGACTGACCACAGCCTTTCCCACATTATGGTTTGTCTCTGACCATGTTCATGGGACTGTCATTTTTTTTGGGACTGACGCTTTGGCTTGGACTGACTGAGGTTGAAAGGCAGCATGACTTGGGGGTTTGCAATATCTGGCTTGAGTGACAACGGGAACGGATGTCGGGGGCATTGTACCATAGTTTTTTACGGGAAAAAAATGGGGTCATCACAAACGACGCATTCGCATGTATAATAGGGGCATGCTGCGAAGGATGTTAGGAGCATTCTGGGAAAAAGGGGGGGACTACCTACCAGACTGGGGGAATGGGTGCATGAGGGGCTTTGCAAGTGTTGTTTTGTTATACAGGGTCTAAAAGAAAAGAGAAGATGGAGTTCGGTGACGAAAATGACAGCGGGGCAATCAACAGGCCTACCGGAGGGGAGGAAGCAGGACCAAGCCAAGGGAGGAGAGCGACAAAGAGAAAGTTGTATATAGGACTCATGGGTGGCCCAGTGGTAGGCAGGGAAGGAAGGAAATGCTTGTGTAGGAAACCCTCACCCCTCCGCGAGGGAGAAGGTATAGAAATCTTGTCTGACAGTAAGGGAGGGAAGGAAAAGGCAGAAATGGAAGAGGGAGGCAATGCAGAGATGGGAAATAAGGTTCAAGTCTCTGACGAGGAAGGAGTCAACAGGGGCAAGCGACGTGAGATTTGGCATGGGGAAAGCGAGGGGGGACAAGACATGCGCGACGAATATAAGGAGGGTGAGGAAAGAAGGGAGAGCCCGCTTGAAGGACGAAGCGGCCACGACAGTTGCGAGGGGTATGGGACGGTGACAGAGATTCCTTTTACCTACGATCCGAAGAACCTTGCAGGTGGATATAGCCCCATACAGACAGAAGATGAGAAGGACGAGGAGGAGGATGTGCGAGAAGTCATAAAAATTAGCAGCGGGGATGAGAGGGATGAGATCTCGAGGCCTAGGGAAGAGGGGCGGCCTCCGATGCACCAGCTGGGCGACAGGGCTTTCAGATGGGAGGACGAGTTTGGGCCGACGCCCAGTCATTGGTTTCAACAATGGACCAATGTGATCAGACACGAATGAATTATCAAGACTCGGGAACTCGCAAGGGCAGGGGTGGAAGCCACACCACTGGATTTTTTCAATGAGGCAGAGTTACGAAAAATTGTAAGGATGAAAAGAGAACTGGGCAAGACGAGGCGCAAGGCAGCAATAGGAACTGGGGGTTAGAAAGCCTGCCGAGGAACGGGGTGGGCAAGAAACTGGGCAAAACGAGGCGCAAGGCAGCAATATGAACTAGGTGTTGACTTAGCATTGAAAAGGATCGCTGTTTTTCTGTCTGCGGAGATATGAGAATGACTAGAACGTGTACAGTATGGGCAAGCTTGCTAAGGATGAAGTGAAAAGAGGGCCAGCTAAGGCTGTGTCACGATAAGATAGAAGATAGTTTTTTAGGCTACTTTTTGGATGAGCTACCTTGGGTACATAAGACAAAGAAATGGGATTTGGGATGAGACCAATTGGGAGAGGGTGTATTGTGAATTCTGGATGAAATAAGGATTATGTTTTTGAGAGGGAAAAAACTTGAGTACGGATTGACGAGCGAACCATGGCATTGAATGATTAGTCGAGTACAAGAGAGATTAGGGAACCTATGGGTTAAGGGGGCGTGAAGAACACTCCTTCCCTAGAAGCCTAATCCAACTGAGTCATGAATGAGACTGAGAATAGCCGAAATCTGAGTGATCAAGAAGAGTAAAAATGGAAGGGGCGTCTTTGTCTTTTGTTATGGATGAACGACCGAGTGGGCTAGTGCTGCTTGGGGTCGCGAGCCCCAACTCGAGTGCTAGACGCTAAGTCGGATGTACGCATGAATGGTATATTACTGTGAGAAATGGAATGGATAGTACATTACTGTGAGAGAAGGAAGAAAGAGAACAACACGCAAAAGATGAGATGACCACCTTCTAACCTCCAAGACAGAAATGGGATCCGTAACCTCGAGGCCCACCCCCTCGGGCACTAACATTGAGAATGGAAAGGAATGAACCTAACCAGACTGTTCGACTTGAGAAAGGAAATGAATGACCCTAACCAGGCTGTTCGACTTGAGAATGGAAAGGAATGACCCTAACCAGGCTGTTCGACTTGAGAATGGAAAGAAATGACCCTAACCAGACTATTGGACTTGAGAATGGAAAGGAATGACCCTAACCAGGCTGTTCGACTTGATAATGGAAAGGAATAGCCCTAACCAGGCTGTTCGACTTGAGAATGGAAAAGAATGACCCTAACCAGGCTGTTCGACTTGAGAATGGAAAAGAACGACCCTAACCAGGTTGTTCGGGAATGACCTCTGACAAGGGTCATTCCTTTTGAAATTAATTGAGAATGTGCTGGAATGAGCAATAAGAGATGGAAAAGGCCGATGGGTCGGTCATTGAAATAGCCAAAAGATGGATGAGAGAGATGGAAAAGGCCGGTGGGTCG